CGCGAATGCGAATGCGAATACGAATATTCAGTTTTTAAATCTAGCGCCGTTTATCTATGATTCAAAATATGCCGCGCGCGACGCACATAATATTTCCGGTGACAGCGGCCCTCTAGGCTAAAGACATTAGCGTTGTTAAGTTGGTAGAACGGTATTTTTGTATGATTGGAATTTTGTTTTGTTTTCGCTATCGGCTCAGATGAGTTTGTGAATTGTGAGGTTAGACTGTTGTTAGTTATGTCTTAACTTTTTTGTTTAATTTACCTAATATTGTTTTCACATTCTGTATTTTTCTTTCACGTTCATATTCGCAAAATATTCAAAGATATTTGCGAATGCGAATGCGAATATCATAAATCAAACGAATATTCGCGAATGCGAATGCGAATATTCGTTACATCACTAATCTACACACATGCGGTAAAATGCGACCCCCTTGCGACAGCGGAGACAATAATTATTGTGGTCTTTTGTATACAGTTTCTTTCTTATGATACTTTGTTCTTTATTATTATTGAAAAAGGGGTTATGAATCCTTTTTGACAAAAAGTTGTTATGGTTATGTGATAAGTAACATTTTAATATTTTTAAAAAACTAATTTAAACGTAGGTCAGTTACCCAGGTTAATAGTAAATACATAGAATAGCTAGTTTTACTTATTTCGACCTCTATTAAATTTAAAAAAAATAGACTGTTTTAAAGAGGAATAAAAAACTATTTCGATGACATTTAAAAATATTTTTATCCAACACTTGTATATTATAGTGATATTATAATTTCTTTAGTTTTAAAGGAATAATGTGTGGCCTCATTTATAACTCACTAGTGAGCTAGTGAGTCATAAGTCATAAGTCACTAGTGAGTTATGAAACCCTTGGTTACAGACACAATTTAGGTTGACACTCGAATCCTTTGTAATATTTAAAAATACATTCATTTCGTTAAATTACTTTTTCTGACATTGACAACTTGAAATTTTAAGTTACTTTTATTTATTATTAAAACGAAATTCTATGAAAGTGTTGGATAAAATTTTGTATGACACTGGTGTGTTACGTCATATAAGTCACTTGGGAAAATTACATTTCCCAGCGTGACTTATATACAGGGCTGGAAAATCCACATGGTCCATCTGCCTTTACATTAGAGCGACAAAGTAAAGTAAAGAAATCCGTGCGATAGACAAGGATGGCTATAGTGAAGACGTTTCATAATCTGAATAGTCACCGCCCGTTTCGGATTAGAAGTGGGAATGACTATTCAGATTATGAAACTTCTTCAATGTAGCCATCCTTGTCTATCGCACAGATTTCTATGACTTTATGGCTCTCACGTAACGGCCGATGTACCATGGGGACATTCCGAACCTGTATGCCGTAACACATTAGTACCATAAATAACTATTAATTCATATTTCTTGTTGCTTAAATAACAAATATTATTGGCCAACAATATAATTTAGTAAATTTCATTTTTTGTATAAACTTACTCTATCATAGACAAAAAAAATCTATTTTTAACTGGTACAAAACTTGCAAAATAGCACCTCGCTCTCTGTCGGTTTGGTCGTATTGAAGGCCTAGGCATTGAGTAATAGCGTTGAGTGAGGAAATATCACTCAACGGTAATAGGAACCATTCACAGATGTAGCACTTTCTTATATCTTATGTTACTCATACCCACTTCACATTTGTAGTTGACATCAAAAATAGTTGGATCATTCGTTGGTAGGCTCATATATAGAGTACCTATATAAGTATTAATTTCGAAGACAGTCTATGTTTGGTGATTTCGTTGATGAATGATTTTATCTCTTTGCTACATATTGGGGCTGTAATTCAGTGGCTGGGGTATGTAGCCCTAAGAAAAGTTGTTTCCTACAGTTACTTAAAGAGTATTTCTAGTATGAAACAAGTGCTTTTAAACTACCTAAAGATCAGTAGGTCACTCTCTGCTAGTAGATGCAAAGCAATACTATACTTTGTAGGTTATATATCATTCACATATTTCTACATTTTTAAATAGATCACAAAGGGTGTTTCCAAAAGTAGACTTTTAAATTTATGGGGTTATAGCTGATGCCAAAATAATGCGTTTCACAGAAAATTACTCTAACAAAAGCTTTATAGTGACGGAGATACTTAACATTTGAAATTGACTGAGATTTATAAGTATTTGCTAACGGTCGTTGTTCGTTGAAATTTTAATAATAGCATTATTTTTTCCAGTTTTTGGTGGATTAATTTTATTGAGGTGTTACTGTTGAGCCTTATTGAGAACATTATAGTGCTTTAACAAATATTATTTTTTTTTTAGTAAGTAGGAAGTAGTTGAATATGGAACAAGCACATATGGTCCATGAAAAATCTCCAAAAAAAGTCAGAGAAGCGAATTTCCAACATATATTTCTAATTATCTTGTTGTTAATGTAATCCTTACATTCTGCCTATTTTTTTACAAATAAGCACCTACTAAAACTAAAATCCCACTTTCAAAAACACACTGTATGTATAATCCAATTATGTGACTATACTTTGGTATAACTTTTCGGGTTCTACCCACACCCACATTCTAAAAACGTTATTTTTAAATCATAGCAGATATAATCCAGCAATAACGCACTGTGAGATTGATGAATGTAAAATTCAAACAGAGGTGATGTAAATTTAAAAACTAACTATATATATCAAATTGTGCATATATTTTCTAAAATTTTGCGATGGTTCAAAAGCTTAATCCACAGGGAAATGAGTCAGAAATTATACAAACTTTCTTTTACTTAATTTAGCTTAACAGTAACAGGAGCAGCAAGACTGCTATTTAGCTTCAACATTATGTACTTCTAAGAAGTACGCGTATAAATATATTTTTATGATGGTATTAATCAATGCCACATTTTTATAGCAGCAGGTCGACATTGTACATATGTATCATTTTACAAAAGCATATGATATACAGGATGAATAAAGTCAGATTGGCATTAAAAGTGCGTGGTGATGAATAATGAAATTATTAATTACGTGAAAACTGTTAGAAATACAAAAAATCATAAATTTTTACTAAATTTTATTACCTCTGACGGTTTAATTTGTGCAACTGATCGTGAATAGAGAAGATAAGTACATGACAGGGACAGGACAGTCTGACATCTTGAGTAAAGTAACAAGAGTTTAAACACAGCTAAATTCACTTAGCTTCGAGGTTCCCGGCATGAGCTTTTCTTTAGATTATAGTAGGATCATATTCGATGCAAAGTAATAAATCATTGTCTGTCAAGGGAACCAATGAAGTACGCTTTTAAGGGTTTTACAAATTGAATAATTTCTTTATACATTATGAAGGGACGAGGGGATCAGTTCAGGTCTGGCACCCTTGTTCCTACAAAAATTCCTTTATTCTCATAAACTATTTATTTTTAATGTAATTTATTATAAATCCAATTTGTTTCCTAAATTCCACATATGTACTACATTTTACCTCTGTACGCGCCACTGTTGTTTACTTGTTTTTTGGAAGCGCTCTCTAATTGACGGCAAAGCTCGCCAGTTTAGTATTTGACGTATAACCGACCAGTTCGTACACTCGATGCACCTGGGCGACTACAGCTACTACCAGAACACAGTGCGTATGCAGCGGAATTTTACATTGAATTTCATTTTAAATTTGGAATGATTTATCTTACGCCTCCTAAAAATGATGATACGATTTTCCTTTGATAAAAGACCGACAACTTTTTGCTCTACTTTGCATCGAATACGATCCTACTATAGACTCTGTCTCGTCCATATGGTAATTATAGACTAGATGACAAACGACCGAGAAGCAGGTCGTGTTCTCGGTCGCACCAAATAACGTCACATGCGTTCGTGAATACGTAACAAAATTTAAATCTTTACATGATTTTTTAAACATCTGTAATTAATTTGTAGCATTAAAGAAATTAATTATAGATAAATTTTTATCACTCAGTTATGGTTATAGGCTAAAAATTTATGTAGTTCTAAAAGAAATTACATTTTCATGCAAGTTGCCTATTCGGGACACCCTATTAGTATAAATATGCAAATTACATATTAGAAAATTATTTATGAAATTATTAGAAAAGTTAATTTTTCTTTCTGCTGTTCTCTAGGAAGATCAGTGAATAAGAATATAAAATATAAATGTATTTAGTAATTATACAGTTTCCTGAGTTTAGCCTTGTATTAAATTACATGGTCTTTGTCTTGTTCAACACAATACCTTCTGAGAAAACTCACTTTATAACTTGTTTATTGTTATTCTACTCTGTAATTCGTTTTCACGTTTTTATACTCTACAACCAACATTGCTTGATTGGAAGAATTAAACACTTAAGATTTCCTATCACGTAGGTATACCTAATTACGGAATAAGTGTCTTAATTTTTTAATTTCGTCATAAAAATTAAGAACTTAACGAGCGAGTCAATGTTTACATTAAACCATTCTGATTCATTCAAAAATACTTTTGATACAAGAATTGGCTCTTCCAACAAAAACGAACTTGATCCTAAAAACATTTTTACTGCATTGGTGGATGAAACAAAACTGAAAATTTTAGATACCCAATTTATTCAATGTACTAAATCATATATTTCCGAAAATAATTACCGTACCTATAAAATCCAGTATACTTTAGATTATCGCAATATAAATGTGTGAATACTAAAGTGACAAATGTGTATCTGGTGGTTTCATTCTGAAATTTCATAAATGATTTCTATATGATTTTTATAATAAAGTAATCAGGACATTATTTCTACTTTGGTATTTTGATTCCATAACTGATAGAGAAATATTCCTTTGTGATATTATTGTGATGTACCTGAGTAATTATATAAAACAAGTCTAAGTCGACAGAGATGATACAAAAAATGATTACATTAAACTATTGACGAAAAGTTCGTTCCGTAATTCAATAGCTTTGTTGATTTTCCCATATATAAATAACATAATAATTAATAAACTAACTTTTTCAGATGTGGAATCGTCCTCTCTAACCGCTGTAGTACACGGTGTTATCCTAGGAGTTCCTATGCCCTTTGATCTTCCAAATCCAGACTGCTGCAAAGATTCAGGCATAACCTGCCCTGTTGCATCTGGACAAACTTATAAATATGAAGGAACCTTTCCCATTCTCGGTTCATATCCGCGGGTAAATGAATAGCAGTTGGTAATAATTGTTAAAAAATAAAAATGAGATCCACGTTAATAGTCAGTTTGTCACATAGCTTTTAGAAGGACTATCGCTTGACTTGTTTTTAAGTGAAGCTATGTCGCTTGAAAATTAATTCAAGCTGTGAGTTCTCAAGTATACAGAGTGTGGCATGTATAATCTATAAAAATTAAACTATAGCTTCCTAACGATATTTGTAATAGAAAAGTCTTATACGAAAAAGTTCTATTTTTGCGTTTTTTTTTTTTCGAAAATTAAAGTTCAACTATGGATCAAAATATTTTCTCTGGAACGGTCCTGTCCGTGTGCAGTACGATGAGTTAAGTGCTATAGACCAGCCGCGTAAACAAATCGTCGTTGAAAGATAGAAAGATACTACTTCTTTTTGGGGAATTTGTCAATGCAAAAGTACAAACTATGAAAAATAGATATTTAAAAACAACTGATATTTTCTTATTATAATAATTAATAGTAATAACTATCTTAAATGCATTGTTGTTACTGCAAAACTTCGCAAATAAAATCACATCCGTAAGCATCTGTAGTTGCCAACTACGTGCACTAAACCAACTCCATTAAAATAAGGAACAAAGTTAAATAAAACTTACCATTTCTAGAGAAAATGTTGATAGCGTTGATACAGGCATGGCACCGACGCACCTAATTTTGGTGAATATTTTCCCAAATTTCAGGTATTCCCCTAATTGTTTCAGCAGCTTCAAGTATATGGTTTCGCAATTCTTCCACCGTAGCAATTGGAAACCAATGACTTCAAGTGACTCCAAAGATAAAAGTCCATTGTAGTTAGATCGGGTGACCGAGGTGGCCACGGCACAGGACCAAAACGTCCAATCCATCGCTGAGGAAACATTTCATTCAAAAGTGTCATTACTTCTCTAGTACTGTGTGGAGGAGCCCCATCTTGAAGATAAAACATGCGTGTCCGAACTTGTAATGGCACATCGTCCAATAATTCAGGCAACCGGTTCTCCAAAAAGTCAGCATATGTTGGTCCATTTCCTTCAAAGAAATAATGACCCACAGGTACATCCCCTATTTCCCTAATCGCGTGAGGATTTTCATCGGCCCATATATGCATGTTTTGAAAATTCACTTCATCACGGGTAAATGTCGCCCGATCTGTTATACAAACATAAGCAGAAAAATCTACTTGATTGGCACATTGCCGTAAAAACCATCTGCAAAAACGCAGTCGTTGATCACAATCCGGGGGTAAAATCTGTTGAACTGGTTGCAGATGATAGGGGTGCAACAGCTGCCGCCTTAAGATGCGATGAGGTTCCTACTTGCTGTGCGAGTCGTCGAGTACTAATTGTGGGGTCTTCGTCAAGATTTTAGGTTCACTTGCTGACCACGTCCTTCTCCTCGAGGAATAACACTTCCCGTATCTCGCAGCCGCTGAACGCACTGTAGGATTGTATTTGCACATGGGTGGTGACGTTGTGGCCATCGTTCCCGGTACAACCTAGTCGCCGCGAGCGCATTTCCTCGGGCTGCACCATAACACCATATCGACACGTTCGGAAATAGTAAATGCATTGTTTTCTCGGTTCACTGTAAAATTAGTTTGTGCACAAACTAAAATATTAAGCAAAGTAAGAAATAAGAATATCTTTTTTAATGTAATCGGCAAGCTATTCTTATTTTTTACTTCTTTATAAAAATTACACTGTCACTATCGTGAAATTACAAAATAAAAACTTTTGTCTGGAATCTTTCACTTTTTAACACTGATGGGTCGATGGACAATGCTTAATATTTAATAATTAAGTGAATAATGAATTCAATACAAATACAAAATCAGTTGACTGCACAAATTTTGTGATAATGTAACCTAACCTTTTTTTAGTATTACTGGAATTAGATTATACCGGCTTAAATTATAAGGTTGCATCTCCAACATTTCCAAAGTTTTTAATAAATAACACAGGGTCGGCCTTCATTTTTGTTGAATAAATAAATTTTAATTTACAAAAAAAACGCGAAGATAAAGGCTTTTCTATTACAAATATCATCAGGAAGCTGTAGTTTAATTTTTATAGATTATACACGCCACACCCTGTATTTTCCATGTTAATTTTGTTTTCCGTTTTAGGTGACTGTAGACATCAAATGGGAAATTAAGGATAAAGATGGCAAAGATATTGTATGTGCCCTGATTCCAGCGAAAATTGGTTAAAACTTTAACTTTAGAATTTATTATTTTTTTTATAAATTGATCTGTTAGATATCATTAATAAAAGAGATTTTAAAAAATATCCAAATGTCAATTATTTGATATGTATGTATTTTCAACATTATGCCTATTTTCAAATTGTATGTGTTTATAATGTAGAAAACAACAACTAATAAAATCTCATTTTCCAATATATTCTTTCCAATATCAAATCGATACTCCAGTCGAACTAGAATTTGAAATTAAAAAAATATTAGTAGACATTTTATTGCACTTTATGACGGGGAGGGGTAAGTGGAATGATAATATCAAAAAAGTAACTCGAAAGAAGTGATGCTAAGTTGGCAAATTGCAAATAAGTTGCAAAATTATGTGTTTTTTCACTTTTTTTATTCCCCATGAAAATAGGACAATTTGTCATTTGATGTTGTAGGCAGTTAACCTACCTACAATTTAAGGTATCTAAAGTCAGATTTCACCTATTTGTTAACTATAAAATAAAGGAAGAACACGGAAAAATGAGTTTTCAAAAATTGCGGATTATTATTACAAAAAGCGGTGGATGATGATGAAATTTATGGAAAAGACGGTAAATCCAAAGACGAATGCCAAAGGCCGATTCGATTGACCGTGAAATTGTTGCTCTATGTATTTGTTACTTAATTTTGTTCGTTTTTTTGCAACTAATTGTTTAATTACTAAATGTTAATTTTAGAATTAAATTTAAACTATATATAAAACAAAGTTATATTGGGAACAAAGAGGCGTAGGCGACCTCTTTTTTTAAATTGCCTTAAAAATAAGCATAAACAAGGTTACGCAGTCACTTACCGATATGACAAAGATGATAATATTAGATCTTTCTTTCTGGGGTGGGCACCGGGCTCTCTGCTCTACGCCCATGAAAAAAAGTCATATTTAATTCAAAAAGAGCGAATTCCCTAGCGACTTTTGCCAGTCAATTTGTTTATAACGCTGTTTTGCACCTTAGTTTCAATTTTTTGACATTTTTCTTCTTCGATACGTTTCTTTGGATCAATTAGAACCTATATCTATGATATTCGGTCTTAAAGTTAACATTTAGTAGGTAATTAAACAATTAGTTGCAAAAAACAAACAAATTAACAAATTGCTGGAGCATCAATTTCACGGTCAATTGAATAAGCATTTGGCACACATTTTGGTCATTGGATTGACCGTGTTTTCCATAAATTTCATCAACATCCATCGCTTTTTGCAATAATAATGGGCAATTTTGGAAAACTGATATTTCCCTATTCGACCTTTATTTCACAGTTAACAAATTAGTGAAAAATTAGGCTAGATACCTTAAATTGTAGGTAACTTAATTGTTAGTTGAACATGTAAAAAAACGCCTGGCAATAAAAATTTAATGAGTTTCATAAGCGTCCCTAAAAAAGTTCTCTGATAAAGGTAAAAAATTATAATAATTTGTATATAAATGTGCACAAAACTTCTATTATATGTTCATTTGGTCAACAACATATTTTAATTATTTATGTCCTCAAACAATTTTATTATATTGATGGTAAACAAGTTTTTCAAATATTTCCATGCCGAGTTGTTGTGCAGCAAGAATTTACTTCCTGTCTGACCCATTGTGTGACAGTAAATGGTCAACAATTTGAACATTTAATTTAGGTGTTTCTGGTGATTTGATTCAATTTTTTGTACGTTTATTTATTTGTAAATAAATTTAGTATTTGTAAATAATTTGGGTATTGTTGTCCTCCCTGTAACAATTAGAAGCAACTTCTGGTATATTTTTGGAATCAGCTCAGTTAGGGCAATCCGAAAATTTAAAAAAAATGTGATGACGTCATTACTCGAACATAGGTCACCCTGTATAGTAAATTATTATTTGAAAAAATTGTAAATTAAATTCAAAAATCGACCTGTTTCGGGAATTTTTAATAATTTCTTTTGTTTACCTAATAATGAATTGGTGCACGACTTTAGGGGGACACTGTATAACCCTCACGCAAAAATAAATCTGTACAATACAATTCTACAGATATAGGATGAAACAGCAGAACTAATCTAAAGTAGTTAAACAGAGATTATTTTATTGCATCATTAACTAAGGAATACTATTATTAATTTTTTTTTTAATAATTGCAAACAATTGACCGTTGTTAATTTGAATTTTATATTTAATTCTTCAAAAATAATAAAGTTTGTTTCTAAGTCTATTTTGGAAATTAACAAAACATTATTTTATTGGGACCTAAATTACCAACAATTATTTTATACAACTTTCGAATAGAAATATAGATGTGTTCTGTAAATTTACATTTTCATTATATATGCAAAAATTTGAACTTGCAAGTGTACTGTTAAGTACATGCAAGAATAAAATAATCAGTGGCGTAGATACAGGAGTTGGATTTTTTTCCGAAACAACTGACTTTCATCTACAAATTAAACCTTGAAAATTTTTAGTAAGAGATGTCGGTTTCGGAATAATTTCAATTTTCAGTATCTACTTTTGTAAAAAAGCATTAGTCCGCGAATTAATTAGTTGGCTTTGAATGTTTTGACAATTTGTTACAAATAAATGACGGGATATGATTTTTATAGTTTCTTTTTGGTTGTAAACATTTCCTTCAGTTTGACCCAAATGCAATATTGCATATTGGCTAAATCATCGAAACCATTTTTTATCTGGGTTTAAAACAGCAAGCATAAGAATGGCTTACCTGTCAACTTAAACAAACTATGGCCTTGCTGTTTAGTACTAAGATATTGAAAAAACTGCAATTATCTCAAAAAGTATACCGCAGTATGCTTTCAAATATCATGTGCAGAATAATTAGGTAGGTATCCACATGGTAAAATTTTTGGACTATTGCGCATGACTTATCACAGTTTTAAATACTTAAAATGAATATAAAGTCTAGTCTAGTTATTGCGTATAATTGCTTAGCAATATCATATACATATATACGAATGTGTTAAGAAAAAAAACAGTCGCATTTCATGGGCTAAATGCATCGTAGATTGAGGATGTATAATGTTCGGCGTGAGGTCAAGGTGTTCTACACAATTCATGAAAATCATTCCCCTTCCAACAATAACACCTCATAGGCACTTAGTGGAGTATTGTACTTATCTTTTTTATAGCACAGTACCGTAACATAATATATGATGAGGTACAAAACATTTGTCAAATGTCATATACAGTATGTCCGCGGATTGAGTTTACAAGAGGACAAATGGACCAAAAAGTGAAAGATACGAAAAAGGCATTCTTGATAAAAGTAATTGCTTGTTCAGAAAATACGAATCACCCTGACGAACTTCAATTTTGTTGTCCAGGGTGGGTCAAAAACACAAAAATGTTATTTTGCGTAAGAGCATAGCTTATTTTGCAAGATACGAAAAAAAGGCATTCTTGTTGAAAGTTTTTGCTTGAAAAATGAATGAGTCACGTTATCGAAAATTAAATTTGAAGAAATATGACCATACGATGCTGCCAGTTTTAGTTCTAGTCTGTTAGAGAAACTCCAGAGATGTCCTTTAGAAATCGAGCTAAACAGTTAGAAGTTGTGAAAAAAAATAATATTCAAAGATTAAGAAAAAAATTAAATATTTCCGTTCAAACCACACTTTAATCAAACATAGGAAGAGGGAGATGAAGCGAAAAGACTAGATTTTTGTTTATGGGTAGGAGACATAATTTTAAATGGAAATGGTTATGTTTGTTATGTTTTCTAATGAATGTGCATTTTCCACTATTAATCAATATAAAAGTTTCTCTAATTTCAGTGGCAAAGATTCTAAAAAAATAAGGTAAGCTAATAATCTAAAATTTGGGCATTATTAAGTTTGAAAATTCAATCTCCGTTTTTAATAATTGCTGGTATTACTATTAAAAAAGGTTTATTTCAATTAATTCTCGAAATGGGCCATGTTATCTAAGGGTTTTTATTATTAATAGAATTTTAAATATGTAATCTTAACATTGAAATATAATTTACATAAAATTTTAAGTATTTTAAGAATCTATGCCTAAGGTGGATCAATATTTTTTGTTGTATTTTGATTATTGCATTTCTTTTTTTTAACAGTTCAGTACTTCAAAAATTATGAATCTATCAATTATGTGTCGGGTCCTGATTTTTTAATCAAATAAAAGAAACGTTATTTTTATTTAATTTGGTATTGTGCCAAGAGAATCAATCAAGTAATGTTTTCTCCCTTACATATGTTATACAGGGTGTTACAAGTTTGATGCCTTAATTTTAACAGACGATAGAATACATTAAAATAAACAAAAAAAATATGACATGGGTCCTAAACTCAACCATCTCCGAGAGAAAAATTATCAAAATCTTCAACTTGATGAACAAAAGTTCGATTAATTAAGAAATATTGACATAACTGCGTGCATAGAATACCATAAAATACAATGTTTGTCTTTTTTTAACTTCTTTATGCTTAATTCTAAAAAATAATTAGCGTTGTAATAAATTTAAAATTCTATAAAATTCATATAGAGCAATTTGACAACGGCGTGGCGGTTTATTAACACGAGGTACTAAGGTGTCCAGCAACTACCAATACGCAATTCAGTTGGTATGGATTCGACCGTGTCGGAGTGTTTTTTGCGTACCACTGTTTCCTTTTCTTGAGGTGTTTTCCAGCGAGTACGCGAAAATTGGATTCGAAGGTGTCGTGCGTGCATGGAAAATGGTGGTTTTGTACTTGTGCGTTTAAAAATTGCTGCATTTTGCTTTTTGGTAAGTACCTAAATTATTTTTAATACGTATGATTATTTGGACGACGTGAATTTTTGGATACTTTATTTAATTACATATTTTTCAAATACATAATTTGGTTAAAAGTCAAGTTCCTGTTTTAAGAGATTCATAAAATCTAAAATTCGAGCTAAAATTTAAGCACAACACTATGTTCGTACTACAAAATCGATACTTCTTATTTTATTTATTTAAAAACTGGAAATTGGAAAACAATTGTCTTGAAATTTACTAAATATTTCACAATAATAGTTGTATACATTTTTTCCGTAGGACAAGTCTGCCACGTGCACATGTGACTTTAAAATTTTGTTTACGGGGGTTATCAGATATACTCTTCAATGAAAATTTCATCAAGGGAAGCACTTGTCAACTTCGTTATTTTAAATGGAACACCCTATGTATGCATTTTCGACAAGATAAATTAAAAATAGGTCAAAAATGTTAAAGCTCCCCTGTACCTAAATCAAACCATTTTCGAAATAATCGATATTTTATTGAAATTTTGACAGATGCAAGCGTTTCGAAAATTCCTTATATCCCCCTACCAAAATTACCAGAACAAGATTATACCAAGTAAACCATTTTTTATGTTAGATTTGGAAAACTTAAAACTTTTTAAATTCAAATGAAAACCCTGTATTTTTCTGCACCATATTATAGAAAATATCTTTTCACCGATAGAGGATTTGTAGAGGTTACAGTTTCGATTGTCTCGGATATTTCATAGAAATGCAGCCAATAATTCTGATTCGTGGCGAATGTCCCATTGATATAAATTAAAATAAATTCAAGATGCACATCTTTATTAGAATGTTTATATTGCATTTTTCTTGTCGATCAAATACTTGATAGAATATTGAATGAAATACCAATATTTGTCTTTCAAGGTGCATCTGATGATATTTTCACCATAATATTATTGAGAATGTAAGAAAACCGTAAATATATGAGAAAATCGAAACTATAACAATGCCTATATCGGTGAAATGAGAATTTGATTTTCTATAATATAGAGCAAAAAATACAGGGTACTTCATTTGCATTTAAACGTTTTGCCGGTTCTAGCTTTTCAAAATATAACGTAAAAAGGGATACTTAGTATAATTTTCGAAACGCTTACATCTGACAACATTTTAATAAAATGTGGATTATCTCGAACGATTAAATTTAGCTTAGGCAAGTTTTAACATTTATGACGTATTTTTTTATTCCGATAATGCAATAATTGATGTCCCATTTAAATTATCGAAGTTGACAGCAACTTCCGGTATAACCGGAAGTGCCAAGTTGATGGCATTATTCTCATCGAAGAAAGCGTATCTGATAACCCCCGTAAACAAAATTTCAGTCATATTATTTTTGGTTTCTCTGAAATGTTTAACTGGCCACTTACCGTGAATAACCCTGTATAACATTTATTCAGTGTTATCGTTTGAAATGGAATTTATCCAATGCAGATTGATATTGGATAGATTTGTACATATTATGACTGTGCTTGGTATGGGCTAAACCCACTCTGTTCACTGTCTGCGAAAGTGGAACGGGACTTTATCGTTTATTTCCATTACTTTACAGCAAGTCCGTTCGTTACAATGGTCGCAGACAGTTCTTGCTTGCTGTGTTACTCTGTATTTGCGACAGTAGTAGCACTCCTATATATCCTTTTCGATGTAAATTATTTCCTGAGAATTATTTTCACAATTGTATTAGGAAAACTTTTTGATAAGAAGAAAAAAGTCGACGAGTCCACAGAAATTTATGGTAAGCAGTATTCGCTATGTTAAAATCTTCCGTAACTGTAAACCGGTCTCTCATTTTCTTGGATGACAATCATATATTAAAAGTGAATTCAATTTCATTTGTAAGATAGCATTTAGAAAATGTCTCATTCTTGTTTATTTTTAAGAATAACAGAAAAATAAAGGATAGAAAATTTAATTTTCGTAACGGCACCCGGTTTACCGTTTTATTATTTAAACACAAAACAAAATTTCTGTTACCTACATTTTATTTGCCAAATATATTTTTTAAGAATGTTTGCATGTTTATAGAATGTGACGATCACAATTTTTTATTATCTGTACTTATAAGTAATTTATATGTTGCCACGAACATTTGCAATTACCCGTTAGATATATACTTTTTTTTCTATTATACCTACTATTAGTAATCAATGTACTTTAATAGGTAATATTTGTTGCAAAAGCAATGTAGAATTCTTGACGCGTTGTTGATACCTTATTAATCCATTTTTTCAACCTAGATAATTTTGGTATTATGTACCAGTATTTAGAGGGACTTGCTTTCCAAATAGGTAGGTGTTTAGAACACCATATTAATAATGTATGACTGAATATGTCAACATTATTTTGCATATAGTCATTATTGTATTGTTCACTACATCTAATTACAAAACATATTGAATTAAAATTATTATTCACTATATCTACCGGTTTGTCTAGAAAACTGATGTCACTACTTTTATATACCAGATGGGGCATTTATCTTGAGACAAAATAATATCTCTGTTGGACTCGATTATTTCCAAAAAAGTGTTTCAGACAAAAATTGTAGGGCACCGAGGAGGCCATTGAAAGGTTCACATTACGACTTCCGGTCTAGACCGGAAGTGGTGTTTTTAAACCGGAGGTTGATTTTTTAATGGAAACATCAATTTTTGCCACGGATTTGGATTGAAAAACGAATAAAATACTTGGTTCTTATTATTTTTTTGATTTAACCCATATTTTGACTATAAAAAACAATAATCTTGAGACAACAAAGTACCTTGTTCGGATCACTTTTAAAAAAAATGTTTCATGCAAAGTGTAAGGTGAAAAGGGGGCTATCTTGATATGACCTTGACCTTAACTTCAAGGTCGTTTGAAGATCAAATTCAAAATTTTAAATGAGACCCTCTTTTTTAACCTGGAAAATTACAAGGGTGGGAAGTTTTACAATAAGATATTGAAAAAAAATCAAATACATATAATTGGGTAGGGAAAATATACTCCACAATATTTTTTATAATGATAGTCCATTCTGTTCTGCTTTTGTCCGAAATAAACTTTTCAATTACTTTTTCATTAGTTTGGTATTTTCCACACTATTGATTTTTCAGTAGATAGCAATTGCAAGTGCTACAATCAATTTAAACTTCTACAATTAAAAAAAAAACAAGAAGCAATATGTAAGGAATTCAAATTTTACACCATACCTAAACAAATTATGTTTATTACCCACTAAACACGAAACGTAAATGAAACGTTGCAAATGAGATGTTTTACTAAACATTTGAAACATTAACTGGAAACGTTTCTGTTTCATTACAGAAATGTATAGCACTTGAAAACTTTCGATCTCGGAAACATAACAGACGAACAACCCTTTGCTATTTTTGCTTATCTTATGGAACAATCGGCATTAGTTAAATTTTGCTCTCAATCCCCAATCCTTCTCAAGCGTTAGTTCATTTGCCTTTGTTTATATAGACATAATTAGAAAAAAAATGTGGTAGCATATTTATAACACAAGTCTAGAAAAAATGTATGTTCGTGACTTGCGTAGACTGCGCGTAACAGCCCGAGTTTATTTGTTTCCCATGTGTCATTTCAATTCGTATTATGTTAGGTTAGGTTTGCGGTAGTGATGTGAGTGAAAATATATAACAAATTGATATATATCAATTTTTGATACATATCAGCTATTATATATATGTTAATAGCTGATATATATCAATTTTCCCGCCATTTCATCAATAAAGCCAAATTTCAAACTTAACCTTACATTTTAAAACTAAAAACTTGTGGTGTGGTAGGCTTGAGTTGGACTGTAGTAGCTCTTGGGTACCTGGCATATCTCGGACAAAAATGAATATAAAAATTTGAAATTTTAGGGGTGTACTATAGATGGGAAGAACTAAGAGCGCACGTAATTTCAAGTCACCCCTTCCACCCTAGGGGGTGAGGGGTGGTTTTTTTAGATGTACCCTACTCATTTTGCGAGTTTCGGATTCTATGCGTAAAACTACCCCCGAAAGCGCGTTCTTGCCGAATTCGCACAAAAACCAAACCACCACCCTCGTATGGACTTTGTCGTTTTTTTGATGGGCATTTTTCTTGGGCACATCTCCGTCAAAAATAAATATAGAAATCTGAAATTTTAGGGGTGTACTATAAGTGGGGAGACCTAAGAGCGAACGTGATTTCAACTCACCCTTTCCACCCTAGTAGGTGCAGAGGGGGTGAGGGGTGGTCTTTTAGACGTATCCCCAAGAACGCGTTTCCAGGGGTAGTTTTACTCGTAGAATCCGAAAATTGCAAAATAGGGTACGTCTAAAAAAAAACCTTCACCCCACCCTAGGGTGGAAGGGGCGAGTTGAAATTACATGCGCTCTTAGGTCTCCCCATCTATAGTACACCCCTAAAATTTCAGATTTTTAAGTACTACTTTAAGTTTCTTTATTATCATAAGTTTTTGATAATTTTTATTTCAATTTTTATCTTTAATTTTTTTTTAGTACGTATTGTGATATACAAAGACTAAATTTTCTTGTTCTAGAAATTTCCCATTTTTTATTTCTGGGTTGATAAAACTAAATTGCTAATAAACAGCGTACTTGCTTATAAACAGTCAGTAGCACGCAACAAAAATTAGAAGTCAGTATGATAAAAAAAATATAAAATTCCAATCTAAATATGAAAAAAAA